ATCTCGCCGTCTACTCGAGGGTCCTGCCTCTCATCATAATGGGCACGCTGAGCGTCGCGGGCGCACTCACGTCCATCTTCCTTCCGGAAACCCTCAACATCCATTTGCCGCAGACGATCGAGGAGGGCGAGCTGTTCGGGGCAGACTTCAAACTCTGGTCCTGCCCGACTCTGCCAAAGTCGGTATCTCCTCCCCTCTCCTCTCTCCTCTCCTAATAATCCTTCTTGTATATTCGTGTCGTTGTTACACCGCTCTGCTGGTGCTGCTTCAGGAAGGGAAAGGGGAGCTCGGAGGACAAGTCGGAATCCGTGCCGTTGAGACACCTGGTGAACGGCCGACCAGGAAATCGTTCTTCGTCGGCTCCAACGTCGGGAGAAGATCCATCGGCGGCAACGGGCGATCGACAGCCGGAGAATTCGTCGCGGTCCGTTGAGCGTCCGAGAGAGGAACGCGACGACAACGGGAAGGAGGAGCTCGCGGGCTCTGCCGATAAAACTTTGGACGTGGTTGTCGTGGTCGAACAACGGAGGAAAACGCAATGAGTCTCCCTCCCTCCCTTTCCTCTCTACGTACGCGTCGTATGTACGAATGTGCACGTTTGGACCGGAGAGAGCGAAAGGGTAGCGCGTCGGGGGGGTGAAGGGGGCAAGTGGTGAGAACAAGTGTGTAAAACGTGGCGCGAATTGGCGTCGCGTTGCGTCGCGTTGCGTCGCGTTGCGTCGCGTAAACGAACGTTCGTCTGTTTCTGTTTGAGCGAGACGCGTTGGACACGTTCCGGGAGGATATCTTCGGAGGAGCCCCGAGCTTTGCCGACCACCGCCACCACCGCCTTCGCGGACCTTCGAACGGACCGGACCGATACCCGTTTCCCCCTTTCTTTCGTCGCGAGACCAGGAAAGCGAAAGATGCGAGAGATCGTGCATATTCAAGCTGGACAATGTGGCAACCAGATCGGTGCCAAGGTCAGTGGTTCGACGGGAACGAGTGTAGGTAGTCGGGGAGAATGGTTCTTAGTCGCGTATCTCCGAAAGGATCGATCGTTTTTTTCTATTCCGAACGACAACGACGACAGTTCTGGGAGGTGATCTCGGACGAACACGGCATCGACCAGTCCGGCACCTATCACGGGGACTCGCAGCTGCAGCTGGAAAGGGTGAACGTGTACTACAACGAAGCGTCCGGTGGGAAATATGTACCGCGTGCTATCCTGGTTGACCTGGAGCCCGGTACCATGGACTCGGTGCGCTCGGGATCGTTCGGACATATCTTTCGGCCGGACAATTTCGTGTTCGGGCAGTCGGGGGCTGGGAACAATTGGGCAAAGGGCCACTACACCGAGGGCGCGGAACTGGTCGACTCGGTTCTGGACGTAGTGAGGAAGGAGGCCGAGAGCTGCGACTGCCTGCAAGGCTTTCAGCTGACTCACTCTTTGGGCGGTGGCACCGGATCCGGCATGGGCACGCTGCTCATCTCCAAGATTCGCGAGGAGTACCCGGACCGAATAATGAGCACCTTCTCCGTGGTGCCGTCGCCGAAGGTGTCCGACACCGTGGTCGAGCCGTACAACGCGACCCTCTCCGTCCATCAGTTGGTCGAGAACACCGATCAGGCGTACTGCATCGACAACGAAGCCCTCTACGACATCTGTTTCCGCACGCTCAAGCTCTCGACACCGACGTACGGGGACTTGAATCATCTGGTGTCGGCCACCATGTCCGGGGTGACCACCTGTCTCAGGTTTCCCGGTCAGTTGAACGCGGATTTGCGAAAGTTAGCCGTCAACATGGTCCCCTTCCCTCGCCTCCACTTCTTCATGCCTGGGTTCGCGCCGCTCACCTCACGAGGAAGTCAACAGTACAGAGCGTTGACGGTGCCTGAACTCACCCAGCAAATGTTCGACGCGAAGAACATGATGGCCGCTTGCGATCCGCGACACGGAAGGTACCTGACCGTGGCCGCGGTGTTCCGCGGCAGAATGTCCATGAAGGAAGTGGACGAGCAGATGCTGAATATTCAGAACAAGAACAGCTCCTACTTCGTCGAATGGATCCCGAATAACGTGAAGACAGCCGTCTGCGACATCCCCCCGCGCGGCTTGAAGATGTCCGCCACCTTCATCGGCAACACCACCGCCATTCAAGAGCTGTTCAAGCGGATCTCCGAACAGTTCACCGCCATGTTCCGGCGGAAAGCCTTCTTGCACTGGTACACCGGCGAGGGCATGGACGAGATGGAGTTCACCGAGGCCGAGTCGAACATGAACGATCTGGTATCGGAGTATCAGCAATACCAGGAAGCCACCGCAGAGGACGAGGGGGAGTCCTACGTGGAGGAAGAGACGGAGAAGTGACCAACGGCGACGAAATCAGCGAACCACGTCCGATTCCGTTCCGAATCCGAACGGAAGCTTATACATTTTTTTCTCTTTTATCCCTTTTACTCTCTGTCTCTGTATTTCGACCAACTTGTTTTCTCCGATTTTCATTTGTACGTTGATCTTTTTACGATCGATTTTTACACGTATGTACACACACGCGCTCGCAAACATGATACGGTACCTTGTATTACCTATATGTATACACACGTACACACGCGTGCGATTTAGAAATGTTGTGTATTACCTTTGTTGAACATTCAATAGATACTCCTTTTTTGTCGCACACCGAGGTTTTTCTCGAATTTTTACGAATCGGCCCGTTCGATCGGTCGGAATACTGTTACGAATCGAGAAACGATAGGTCGACGTTCGCCGTCTGTCGGGAAAATTCTCGCGGAAGCTACGAAACGGTTAGGAAGATGAGGGAAATCGTGCACGTGCAAGTTGGTCAGTGCGGGAACAAGATCGGAGAGAAGGTAAGGAATTTTCTTTGCCTCGTTACTCAGCCCGCTCCAACTCCAGATTTCCCCGGCAGTTTTGGGAGCTGATCTCGGACGAGCATGGCTTGAACGCGGACGGAATATTTTCCGGCGATTCCGACCTCCAATTGCAACGAATGAACGTATACTTCGTGGAGGGTCCAGGTATGGGAGCCGCGAAACTCTTCCCTCGAATGCGTCGACGATGCTCGCTCCTTTCTTCCCCTCTCGCGCAGTCAATAGGTTTGTCCCGAGAGCTGTTCTGGTCGATCTCGACCCGGCGAGTCTGGACGACGTGCTGTCCGGCCCGTTCGGGAGACTGTTCAAGCCGGAGAACTTTGCCGCGGGTCGCGCCGGCGCCGCGAACAATTGGGCGAAAGGTTACTACACCGAGGGCGCCGATCTGGCGGACCTCGCGTTGGATCTGATCCGCACGGAAGCCGAGGGCTGCGATCTGATGCAAGGTTAGTCGAGTATAGAATAGACGAGCGAATAGCGAATAGCGTTTCTCGTTCAGGCATTCAAATGGTCCATTCGGTGGGCGGCGGGACCGGGGCAGGGATGGGCGCGTTGCTGATGGGCAAATTGAAAGAAGAATACCCGGAGAGGATCGTGAAGGCGTACAGCGTGTTGCCGTCCTCGGAGATGTCGGACGTGGTGGTGGAACCGTACAACGCTGTACTCAGCCTGAGCAGATCGATCGAGTGCACCGACCAAACATACTGTGTGGACAATCGAGCGATGAGCTACATCTGCACGCACGTTCTCAAGCTCGCCACACCGACGTTCAGCGACGCGAATCGTCTGATATCCGGCTGCATGTCCGGCATCACCACTTGCTTCAGATTTCCCGGCCAATTGAACACCGATTTGAGGAAGCTGCAGGTGAACTTGGTACCGTTCCCCAGACTTCACTTCTTCGTTCCCGGATACGCTCCTCTCTTCTCCAGGGCTGCCGCGCCGTACAAGGTCCTCTCCGTTCCGGAACTCGCGCAGCAGTTGTTTCACGCGAACAGCATGTTCGTCTACTGCGACCCGAAAATGGGGAAATTCCTCACTCTGGCTGCCATCTTCAGGGGTAGAATGTCGAGCAAGGTTGGAAAGAGTAACAAGGAAAACGGAGAAACTTGATTCGATTCGAATCGGCCCGCTTTGGTTTTGTTGCAGCGCGTGGACGAGCAGATGCTGAGCGTACGGAACAAAAACAGTCCGTATTTCGTCGAGTGGATCCCGAATAACGTTCAAACCGCGATGTGCGACATCGGACCGCGGGGACTAAGCATGAGCGCCAGCATGATATCGAACACGACGGCGATTCACGAGCCGTTCAAACAGCTGGCGCACGTGTTCGACGGCATGCTGAAGAAGAAGGCTTACCTGCACTGGTACACCGCCGAGGGAATGGACGAGAGCGAGTTTACGGATTGCCGTGGGCTGATGCAGGATCTCGTGTCCGAGTATCAACGTCAACAGGAAGCGGCGGCGGAGTCCAGTTTCGTGAAAGATTCCCCGGACTACGAGGAGTGAGGGAAGGGACGAAGGTGTAGGGGAGGGACGGGGATGAAAGAGAAACGCAACGAATATTTGGAAAAAAAAAGACGTATATTTCTGCAAGGAACAAACTTGCGCTACAATTGAACGCGCGCCACGATTAATACGCATGCGATATAGTTGCCGTGGATGTAACGTAGAAAAAGGAGAGGAGGAAGAGGGGAAAGTTTTGGTTCGAGTGCTTTGGTGTGTTCGATCGAGTCGTTGCCAGCCGTCTTCCTTGCAGCAACCAGGTAGAAAATCCAATCCAAACTCCCTGCTCGTGTACGGTATAAAAATATAAAATAAGTAGAGAGAAGAGGCGGGGGAGAAGGAGGGAAGGGAATCTCGATCGGAAGCGGTTCGGATGGATTCACTCCTGCTCGCAGGTCTCGAAATCGTCGGCGCATTCTTCGGCTTCGAAATCCTCCTCGGCGGTGGCCTCCTGGTACTGTTGGTACTCCGATACCAGATCGTTCATGTTCGACTCGGCCTCGGTGAACTCCATCTCGTCCATGCCCTCGCCGGTGTACCAGTGCAAGAAGGCTTTCCGCCGGAACATGGCGGTGAACTGTTCGGAGATCCGCTTGAACAGCTCTTGAATGGCGGTGGTGTTGCCGATGAAGGTGGAGGACATTTTCAGGCCCTTGGGCGGGATGTCGCAGACGGCTGTCTTCACGTTGTTCGGGATCCATTCGACGAAGTAGGAGCTGTTCTTGTTCTGCACGCTGAGCATTTGCTCGTCGACCTCTTTCATCGACATTCTGCCGCGGAACACGGCGGCCACGGTCAGGTACCTTCCGTGGCGAGGATCACAGGCGGCCATCATGTTCTTCGCGTCGAACATCTGCTGGGTGAGTTCCGGCACGGAGAGGGCCGAATACTGTTGCATGGACCTAGATGTTAACGGGGCAAAGCCGGGCATGAAAAAGTGGAGGCGAGGGAAGGGGACCATGTTGACGGCTAACTTTCGCAAATCCGCGTTCAATTGACCGGGAAACCTGAGGCAAGTGGTCACGCCTGACATGGTGAGCGAGACCAGATGATTCAAGTCTCCGTAGCTCGGATTGGAAACCTTGAGGGTGCGGAAGCAGATGTCGTAGAGAGCCTCGTTGTCGATGCAGTAGGTCTCGTCGGTGTTCTCGACCAGCTGGTGGACGGAGAGGGTCGCGTTGTACGGCTCGACCACGGTGTCGGACACCTTCGGCGACGGCATCACCGAGTACGTGTTCATTATTCGGTCCGGGTACTCCTCGCGAATCTTGGAGATGAGCAGCGTGCCCATGCCGGATCCGGTGCCACCGCCCAAAGAGTGAGTCAGCTGAAAGCCTTGCAGGCAGTCGCAGTTCTCGCACTCCTTCCTCACCACGTCCAAAACGGAGTCGACCAGTTCGGCACCCTCGGTGTAGTGTCCTTTCGCCCAGTTGTTGCCCGCTCCTGATTGCCCGAACACGAAATTGTCCGGTCGGAAGAGTTTCCCGTAGGCGCCGGATCGGACCGCGTCCATCGTGCCTGGCTCCAGGTCGAGGAGGATGGCCCGAGGCACGTACTTTCCACCATTCGTCGAGGTCGCGACTGTAACCAGATTTTATACGTCTATCGTTCTAGGCGGAATTCGCCATCCTTAACCGGCGCGGTATACGATCGATCCGTAAGGTGGACACGCGCGCGTGCCTTCCGAAACCGACGTCGCGTCTCGTTCTCCATACTAAACGAGCCCAACTGCGTATTCTCATTCGGCAAATGACGAAACATACCGTCGCTTTAAATGGTCAGTGGACGGAAACGCGCGCGGCATCCTTTACGAATCGATCGCTTCTCTCCATTCGAGGAGGATCGTTGACGGGGTGCATCGCAAACCGAAGGGTTTCACCGAACGGAACCGAACAAAGCGGCTATTTTCGTCGCGAAACGCCGCTCTCCTCCTTTTCTGCGTGTGTCGCGACGCGGGTCGTGTCTATTTTCGTGCATCGTACATTCATCTTCGCCATCCTTTCTATCTCTTACCAGAAGCCTCGTTATAGTAGACGGAAATTCGCTCCAACTGCAGATCGCTGTCTCCGTGATAAATGCCCGATTGATCGATGCCATGCTCCTCCGAGATCACTTCCCAGAACTGCAATGCAAGTACAACACGGTGCGTGAGACGCGTACGCGTGTTACGCGGTGACGCACACCCTTTTGTCTCCTATCTCTCCCCTCCCTCTTCTTCTCCCCTTCTCTTCCGACGAAACCGAGTGAAAATTATCCTTTTAAAGAGGATCGAGATACACGAAATTAACGCGGTCTCTGCCCCCTGGCTTTGTCGAGAATTCACCCTCTATTTTCTCTCTTCTATTAATAGCCGTCCATGAATCGCGAGTCTCTCTTTTTCGACCGCGACGAACAAGATGACTGCGTTGTCGCGACGTTTCGTCCAACTCGAGGTACGCTTAATTATTGGAGCGGTGCGAGCAATTAGGATTACGCTCGTTACGGCTCTCGTTTCTCTCTCGAGACGGACAAGTCCCCTTTGTTCGGGACGCAATTTACAGTTGGTCGGTCGACGTCGTTTTCCGCATCGAAGAGTTTTACGATCGGCCCAGAAAAGAACCGAGGGCGGAAGCAGCGCGATTTTAATTGCAACCTATGGTCTATCGAGATTCGCGTGCTTTTCGATACTGATACTTTTTCAAAATCACCGACAGACGAGAGACCTTCGTCTCGTTGTCGCCAACGCCGCCGCCTTATCTTTAATTCGATTAGGAGCTAAGAGGGATGCAGCGACAAGTTCCGTACCGTGGCGAGTCGCAAACGAGATGAATGTATCGTTGAAGAGATAGGAGAAAAGCTCGGAGAAGGGATTGTTGCGGAGAACCGGGGGTGGTTGTTGGTAGAGGTGAAGCAGCCGGGCGACACCTACCTTTGCACCGATCTGGTTTCCGCATTGTCCAGCCTGCAGATGCACGATCTCCCTCATTCTGAAGCTGGCCTTTCTCTTCGTGTTCCCTTTGCGGCCTAGTGCACAGCTGATCCCTTCGGAGGCTGAAGAGAGAGAGAGAGAAGAGTAGTGCGAGCTGCGCAGCGGCGAGTATGCGTGTGCAGTCGAGTGTCGCGCAGGAGTGCACCAGTGAAGAGCGGAGCCTGCGGAGCGAAACTGGCGAGGAAACGCGCTCGTATCGGTGTCCTGAGCTCGACTCTCCGCTCGGTTACCCGGCGCGCTTC